TTATACACTGTATTAGGTTTTTATAACGATAATAGCAAATTAATAAAAGATTCAAACAATTTTCATTTTTTACATTTACCCAATAAAACTTATAATAAACTAAGTGCAGCAGATTTTAAAATGTATTATGTTTAATATTATTCTCTAAAATAAATTTCAAATTCTTAGAAATATTGGCATTTATTTTTATGAATTCTATAATAACTTAAATATTTTTTATGATCAAATATTACCTGAAATCTTATTAATTTACACAGATGGTGGGCCAGATCATAGATGTACTTTTGGTTTAGTTCAAATTTCATTAATATGTCTTTTTCTTAAAGGACACTTTGATATGTTAATAGCTGCCAGAACTGCACCATATCATAGTTGGGCAAATCCAGCAGAACGAATTATGTCAATAGTTAATCTTGCATTACAAGATATAGCTTTGCAACGAAATCAAATGAGTAAAGATTCTGAATTAGAATTTGCTCAACTTAAAACATTAGAAACTATTCGCCAACAAGCAATATATAATCTAAAATTAAAAAAAGAATTACAGGCATCAATTAAAAATATTCAAGAAATTTTAAATGAAAGAACACAACGACTTAAACTTCATGATAATTATTTTCTTACTGGAAATACTGCTATAGAGATAGAAATTGAAGAGTTTTTTAAAGTATTTATTTATACTTATACAATATTTTTTAAAAATTTATAATCAAAATACACAAATTTAACTACTATTGTATGCAATTTTAGACTATTTTTATAATCGATCCAAGTCTTGAGCAAACAATGACAACTTTAAATTCTTTAAATAAACAACAGTTTTATAATAATTTTTTAAAGTCTCATTGTCAAACCCGAACCTATACTTTTCAAGTCAAAAAATGTACTGATAACAAATGTTATATATGCCAACCAATCTGAATGCCACTTGATCAATTTGAAAATTTATATTTTTTGCCTGATCCTAAACTTTCTACAGGTAAGAATATATAGCTAAAGAATTATAAATTTTGTATTTAAGTTAAAGAATTCTATTTACAGATAAAGAACATTATAAAGAATTTGATGAATTATATGGACAATCAACAAGTGAAGAATATCGGTTATTACAACAAAAAATTAACCACGAAGAATCAGAATCTCATACTGGAAGATTTATAAATACAAAAATTCGACTTCTAGTTTGCTGTGATTTTTGTGGAAAATATCGCTGCATTTATAGTGATATATCTTTAAATAAAAATGATACTGAGACAATTATACAATACCTTGAAAATATTTCATATAGTTGTAGATCTCCACTTCTTCCAGATGAACACTTACTTTCTAATCAACTTTATATATGCCAAGATATTACTTGTGATTTACCCATTGAGCGAAATTATTATTCATGTCGTATAAAGGATGTAAATTTATGTTATTGGTGTAGAGCAGAGGATGGTATTTTAGATCCATCAAATGAGTTAAAATCACAATTTAAATTTATTTACCCACTTTGCATATCATGCAATGCTAATGGCCGTGAATGGTCTACTCGTGCTCCAATTGTGTTTAAAAGCAAAAAATAAAAAGTTCATCATTAATGTATATTCAAAGTTTATATTAAATAATCAATAAAATTCAAAATTTTCTAGGATAAAATTGAGCTTTGAAACTATGTTTATTTTTTATGTTTGTTTAAATTTACCCCCCTCCCTCATCTCTGTACATAAAATATTGACATTAACCTAAAAATCAGCTAAAAATGGCCTAATGACCGCTTTCCAGCCGAGAATCGATCTTAAAGTCCCGTTGTTTGATTCTATAGAGTAAAAAATCGTACAAGTTCCAATGAGTTATTTCGCTATCTTTAAAGAACTGATGATAAGAACGTTTTGAAAATTTTGATATAGTTTTTTCATAAAAACTTTGCCATTTAAATTTAAATTCCATTTTACGAAACTGATTATAACTGCAGATCTGATAATCTTTTTATCCTAAAAGATCGACGTAATATCACATGATTCACTTAAACCCTTTTGACGGAAATAGTGTGATTATACCAAGTATCGCTAACGCTGCGTAGTCATAAGAAGTAAATGCTACTAAATTGAGCTGGAAGACGACGGGCCGATCCATCACTATGTATCATCTCGAAATAACCCCCAGGATGTAGTTTAAATTAAGCTTAATGTAGCCCAAAATATTTAAATTACACCTTGGGGGAGTTATTTCGGTATTTCCTACATACGTCTCATATGTGTTTTAATTATATGGTCTTTTCTGAATGATTATCTTGAAGTTAGCTTAGAAAAATATAAACCCATGGTAAGCTAATTTGACGCTTTAGTCATTACTCTTTTATTTTAACACATGAAAGGTCATATCAAATAATTTTCTATAATTTCGAACTCATTTTATTCTCCGACGGCATCTTGATGCCGTCGGAGAACGAACTAATGAATCATATTATTTTGACTCATGATATAACGGATCCGACTCATTGTAAACCCTAATTTTTTAGGTTAAGCGAAACATGAATTTGTGAAACATGAATTTATGAAGAAACCATAAAATCGATTTTTTAAGTGCTTGCATGAATCAAGAATATTGTATTTCACCAACCCAGTAGCATCACATAAAAAGAATGAGAGATTCTGATAAAGAGGATGGAAAAGAATAAAAACCTCCAAATAAAAAACATATATATATTTACAAAAAAGTGAATATGAAAACTGTTAATTGTAAAAAAACAATAGTGTAGGAATGAACAAATACACAATTATGAACGAGAACAACAAAGGATGGTTAATTCTGAAAGTACCAGTGAATTGCTCATAATCCAGCCGTATATATTTTATCAAGAGTTCGCTTTTGTCTATCTAATGCATTCATCCTATTAGGAATTAAAATAAAATAAATAAATTAATTAAATAGATATTAATGACGCTTTCTAATTAGCAAAATAATATTTTACCGTTTCTCCTTTTCCAATTCTGCATTCAGACGATTGATTTCATCGATAAGAAAAGACTCTTTACTTGACTGATTCTTAATATGCAAGACAGCTTTACACAAAATATTGTTAGCGTCATTATTAAAAATATAAATATAGAACTTGTAATCACCTTTCTGAAGTAAAACCGGTTTACTCATCTTGCGACCGGTATAAGTGGTCGGGAGCTGCTTACGGAGTTCCTCAAAAGCATCTTTAATTTCTGCACGTCGTTTTTGTTCTGATTGAATGTGTATTTGACGTCTAAACTTGGCACGTGACAACAATGTGTTGTGATAAAAAATAAAATCAATTCATTAGTTTTTTTTCAGTGATGCAAAATAATAAAATTATTCTAGCGTATTCATGTACCTGTTTGTATCATCAATATCATCTCCATCTAAGGAGGAATTATCGAATGGCTTATCACGTGATAAGTTTTGCCTGTTATCTTGCTTTAAGTAAATATCATTGTTGTAATGAACAAATGGAATGTTCAATTTATCCGCTAAAGGAAGGTCTTGAAATTCAAGCGGCCCGTTCATCTGTAAGTAGGGATGCTGAACTTGGTTAAATTTATAATACAGACAATCTAGTTAAAGCAGCTACTCATGTATAAATTGTGTATTGTAAAATTCAAAAGTGGTTAGACTATGACCATTTTTGAATTTTACAAGAAGTTACAAGGTGGTTTCTTAATTAAAATTTTAATTTTTTTTTTATTTCTGTTAACCTGCTTTTTAAATCAATTTATATTAAATTGATAAGATATTGCTTAAAAATATTCTATTAAGCATCCAACGATTAAAGTATGCTGTGGCAGTGATGTTGATCATCAACTCGAACTTTGGGTTCACCCTGGTGTCGTCCCAGCTACCACAAACACCATCATTAATAAACAAGCCTGCAATCTAACCAAACACAATATTAATCTATAAAAATAACAATTGGTTCTATGAACAATGCATAATGTATTTAATTTCGTAAAAAATAACAGTTGGTTCTATGAATATTGTCATTTCACTATAAATAAATATAGTGTATATTTGCAATTTTTTATCTCTCTCTCTCCTCTATTTCTGTGCTTTTATCGTCAAATATGGTCTGTCTATTTACTTTTATAGTCACCTTTGTATTTGGACTTGCATTCACTTCAGCTCGTAAGTTAAATGTAATGTAGTATTAGAAAGACTACAAAAATCTTTTAAGTAAAAATAAAAATATCCTTATTATAACTGCTAAATTAACTTTCCATATTTTAGTGGTTTCGAATGTAAAAATTCCAAAAACAGTAATTGAGAATGAATTTACAAACATAACTTAGGACTTTAAAAAGTCTGATAGAAGTTTTCTTATTAATATTTATTATGTACCTGTAAAACAAAAATCCGGTAATGTTGTCAAAGTCTTAATTGATGGCAACAAGAGAAAATATCAATGGGCTGTGAATGCAAACCCTGAAAAATATTTTATCCATATTAAAGGGGATGATATGAACGAGAATGGTGCAATGTCTAATGAATTTACGGTTGTAGCAAAAAAGAAAAATACAATAAATGCAACAACTGTTATATTGCTTCGAAAAAGATTAATCACAATGGTACTGTTTATTATGTTAGAATATCTTTCAATATATTATTTATTTCGATTCTTATTTTTGCTTTTAACTAGTGTTATGTACAATAATTGTTTAGTTAAATGCCTCACAGGCAATATTTCTACTTATGTTTTTCAGGATTAGAACTAATATGAGATGTTGATTATGGATGCCCAAAGGGCCATCTCATGATACTAATTTAAACGCAGATATTTATAACAATAAATTTATTTAATTGGTTTAAATTTTTTTTAAATAAAAAAAATGTAAATTGAATTTCATATTTAATTATTTAAAAGAACTTTAATTGAACTTTACAGTACTTTTACGTAATAACGCGCGTTATTTTGAGACAAATAAAAAATTTCAAGTATAAGACAAAAAAATGCCTCAGAACTGGATTTAGTACTAAGTAACCCTCCTTTTGAGCTTAACAAAAGTTGTTCTAAAGAACAACTTTTGTTAAGCTCAAAAGGAGGGTTACTTAGTACTAAATCCAGTTTCGAGATAATTTTTTATTTTGGGACGCACATTTATATAAAAAAAATTTTTTGGTTTAACATTTTGTCTAAAAATAATTAATTTTATTAAGTAATAAAAATTTGAATTCAAATACTTACAGATTCGTAGAAAGACTATTTAAAGTTGTAATTGTTAAGTTGATATAAATTATTTGAAGAAATATTAATTGTGAATTATGTTTAGAGTTGTAATATTTAATTTTAAATAAATAAAACTTTGAATTTAAAGTTCATCTTGACTATTTAAAGTTGTAATTATATAACATGCAAATCACGCAAAAATATATTGTATTTATCTAAATCACATCTCTCTTCTAAGAACAAGTACGTACTGTACGTACTGTACAAATCAATTTTCTGTAGTACTGTAGTACTTTGAACTGCATTTATAATCACATGACTTAAACCATCACAGATCACATGATTAAATACGTACATATCTTAGTGTTAGATTATTTTTAAATACTTCGATTATCGAGATTCCCACCCCCAGTTGCATCTCTCGCATTTTTATATATTCACTTCCTGTTTCAGGTCTCAAAAATCTTGTTTTATATTACCCCGAATTACTTAAATACGGTATTTGGTATATAAAGAAACATACGTGTGAAATTTTTTCTCTATATGTAAATACTAACATCAAATATTATGAAAAGGATAAAACTTAGTCATCTTACTAAGAGAACTAAAATGAATGATATTAGGGTTGAGGATGAAGATTCAGGAGATATATATGACAAGTTCTTCGGAATTTATGATCCAAGAAAAGTTTTTGCAGTTGAATTTTTTGCATGGCTCCTTGCTCAAGGAATAGAATCGGACTTTAACGACCAAAGCACAAATAATTTCTTTCTCAGAGTTGACAAACTACGAAACGATGCATGCTGGAGACTATATCAAAAAGAGTTTGATGAAACTCGTAAGGTTATTTTTACTTTATATTTTAATATTTTATCATTATATCAATGATGAGTGAATATTAAACTAATCAAATCAACATTGGCAAAGTGATTTACAAGTGGGAGCAAAGAATTTTTTTCTCATGCTGAACTGTCCCTACTTAATCTCATTTTTGTCGATGGCAAACGTGTTGCCAAATTTACCTGCAGAATTCGTTAAACTAACGTTTATATATGGGTGGGTTTGACTCACGCTTTGTGATTTGATATATCTCTCTTTTAAAAAAAAAATGTGTCTCTGAGGATATTTTATTTCTTCAATATAATTGTATTTTATACAAATAATTAATAATTTCTTTATATTGAATTCAAGACGGATAGAAAAATGGTAATAGAAATGCACGCATAGCTTACATAAATATGATAAAAAATGGAGATAAAAAACTTGTAGCTCTTACTTTGGAATATATTGAAGGCCTAGAAAATAAGTTAATACCGATGACAAGCTTTGATAAATCTCTCCAGAAAAGATTTATTACTAATATAAGGGTCATCAGTGTTAGTACTTTATTATTATTGACCATAATAGTATCAATTTTTGATTTAATATTTGGTCTTTATAGGATCAAAAAGATGCCTCGGAATGGACATTCACGGATAAAAATAATATAGAAATTGATGTTGTCAAAACAATTTGTCGTGGTGTTACTGAGGAAATGATAATGAATCTAGAATATAATAATCCCTTATTATCATATGTGATTGATTTTTCAAATCTATCCAAAGAAATTAAAGATGCATTTGACGAGCAAGCACTAATTGCAATGACAGCTCCACCAATAAAATTCCATCGAGACATGGATCCTACTTCAGAAAAATATCTTGAATACTTGTTCAAAAACCAACAAGTGTGTGAACAATTATTTCCAAAAGTTGATGATACAAGTTCTTTATTTATGGAACAATATTTTTTTTGGAAAGCATACTGCAAACTGTTAAGTAAATAAATAAATAAAACGAATATTATATGTTTCATTTTGCATTCTAATTTCTATAATAAGTAAATTTCTTACAGATTTGAGATGTGGAGAAGCAATAATTTTAATAAAAATTTCACTACTACGTTTAATGAAGGTACCTGGGAGCATTTTGTATTACACTCACTATTTGATATTTTGACGTTAAGTCTAGATAAATGTGTGTTACGCTGGTATATAAAAAATGTGCAATTATTGCAATTATTTAAATAATCTAACTTATTATATTGTTTCTGTATTTTTTTTGTATTCGAACTAATTTAGGGGAGAAAGTACATCAAGTGCATCAAAATATCGGAAGACTGAAAATATAAAATTTGAGAAGGAAACCCGTGAACAGTTAGATCGAATAATGGTACCATTTCATACGTCTTTACAAGCAAAGAAGGCAGATACCTGGATTAAAATGATGATTGCAAAAAATCTCCATGAAATTGTATTTGCTGAAACATCAGGGTCACCTTTTCAGGCTATCTGTACTACTAAAAAAGTGTATAATGATAAATGTAAATTAATACG